TCTGTGTGCTCTGCCCTCTGGTCTTGAGATCTCCATCATTCCCCGCCCCAGACTGTGTCTTCTGCTTCTCCACCTCAGGGAAGGGGATGGCTAGCTGCTCAAGGTGCCTTCCTCCCAAGACCGACTTCTTAAGTGGTCTCCAGGTAAAGTACATTTTATCCCCCTGAACAGTCTTAAGCGAGGGGGAGAGCGTCCTCCCAGAAAAGTGGAGCTTACTACATCATTCTGTTACTAAACACTGTCCAAGTGCTTCCGGCTACCCTGAAGATGAAGTCAAACTTCTCCACTCCTTGCTTGGAGGGCCTCCAGGACCCAGCCCCCGCTGCCCTCTCCTGCCCTGTGCTGAGCCACTGTCCCCCCAGCCCTGCGCCCCTTTTTTTTCCTTCCTCCACTGAATGTGCCTTCTGCTGCCTTGGCGTCCACGCATGCGTGGTGTCCCGCCCTTTAGCCTGGCGGTACGGCCCTTCCCATCACAGCTTCTTTGCCCTTCCATCCAAAAGATGCTTCCTGTGCCCCACCCAGCGTGGCTTCCCTGATCAGCACTGCACGCTGTGGGGACGGCCCACCCTCCCAGGGCAGTAATTGTGCCCGGGTCCCAAACGCAGGAGCCTGCTCGCTGCCGAGTCCCAGTGCAGCACGGGGACTGGCACACTGAGAACGCCTAAGACCGGTAGTGTGTTTCCACTCCGGTTTGGGGCCTCTCCCTGTCCTGTCTCCTCTTGCTAGGCAGCCCCTCCCCAGAACTGGTGCTTCACCACTTCAGGAACTCCTGCCACCTAGGCTTTTCCTGCTCGAGGGTTTCTATGAAAACTTCCTGGAAGGATCACATCGCTCACAACTGCCTTCATAAGAACCTTTTTAATTATTATTTAGAAATGCAGTTATATACATAGAACAATTAAAATTAAATTAAACTTTGTACAAATATTAAAATACTATCTTCACACCCACCGCAATGTACAGGATACCAAAAAATATATAAAATAAAATAAAGCAAACCCAAACTGATTGAGGGACATCCTGCACAGAGTCAATGATGCATGTGTCGTTTGAAACCATCATCTAGGAGTACCATTCTACAAAGGATTCCACAGTGGTGTGAAAAGAAGCCAGGGCGGGGTGTGGTAGGCCGCCATGCAACCCGCGTCCATCTCTCCTCCGGCCTGGCAATCTGAGTGCTGTGCCCCTCCGTTCCCTCCAGCCAGCTCTGCTGCCAGACAGAGGGCTCAACCTCGGGGTTTCCATTCAAGATTCTTCTAGGTTTTCAACTGGAAATTAAGAGCGGCAGCTTCCCAGCAAAGCTGAGCCTGTTGCCGTTCCCTATTCAGGGAATCAGCTACTCTACCACTCAGTCTGTGCTTCGGCCAAGCAAAGTCTAGTTCAGCCCCTCCCCGGGCCCCAGCAGACTGGCCCTACGTTGAGAGCCGGGAGTCCCAGAAGCCCTCGGCCTCACTGTCCTCACAAGCACACGGGGACTTAAGCCTGTGTAGCACTTCTCTTCCGGGCCCTTTATTCTCTTTCAGGAGGAAAGAAAGGCAAGGATGTAGAAGTGTTTGCAGCATATCCCATTCTCTGTGTGAAGATATCCCTGTGAACGGAGGAGACACTGCCATGTGGCCAGAACTGGGAGGGAGGGGAAAGGCCGAATGCCTGTGGATCCCTGTGCCAGCACTAAAGAAGCAGGAAAAGTCTACCTTTGTCTGTCTTGCCATCAGGCTTCTCCACAGAACTTTAAAGCTGGCGGGGGGGGGGGGGGGGGGGGGGTAAGGGAGAGGAGGGGGAGGATGAATGGAGAAGACATTAGCTTAAGTTCTGTTTGCAAATGGAGTGTTAGTAGAATGCACACCGAAGTGCCTTATAAAGCCAAAAGAACTCACAAAGTGGCTGGGACTCAGTCCATTTCACAGTTCACACCAGTGAGATGGGAACACGGCACACAACATTCAGAAATGGCAAAAGAGAGAGCCTATCTGCTAAACTAAGGCATTGAAAGGGACGGAAACCTTAAGTGATTTTCACCACATACTGGCCCTTGAAAGTCGCTGGCAAGTCAGCAGGATAGAAAACCACTGAGTCAGCTCATGTGTGCAAAAAGACACTTTTAGTCCTTTGGTGCCGGCTACCCTCCTGGACAAGCCCTCTGCTGGACTCCCCTAGAGGTGAGCCCGGGAAAGCCAGGGCCGTGGTTTTCCCACCTGCTCTGGGATCCTTTGGCAGCCTCCTGCCCAACAGCCTGCCACCTGCCACTGCCCTGGTCTCTCAGCCAGGCCCCACTTCAAGGCAGCTGTGGAGTCCCTAATCCCTTGAAAGGGACAAACCCCAGAAGCTCTAGAAACAGCAGCACCTGGCTGATGGCTAAGAAACTGCTTCAGAGAAGAGAACTGCGAGAGAAGAAGCCAGCAAGGATGTCAGCTGCAATGGGAGGCCTGGATCCTCCCCCGACAGGCCCTGGGAGGTGGGAGGTGGGAGCTGGGACTCAGCAAAGCCAGGGACAGAGGGGACGGGAGAGAGGTGGCAAGGGTGTGTATATGCTAGGTTCCCATTTATCCAGACTTTCTTTCCTACCAGGTAGGCAAGTCTGGGCTTGTGATCCGCAGGACAGTGTTAATGGTGAGCAAGGTGGAAGAAGGCTTCAGAAGAAAGGCTTTTCATTTTTCATTTTTTCCCCCAAGGGCTAAGTTCGTCACCTACTCAGCTGAGTAAACCTTAAATAGCATAATCTCTTAGGGAGGGAAAGATCCAGAGTAATGATATAAAAAAGGGTAAGATCTTCCATTTTTAAAAATATTCTAGACTAGAATTCAGGCTGCAGGCTCAACAGTGAGACTTTGGATTCCGCCCCCAACCCCCGCCCCCCACCACCATTTGTCCCTGCTGTCTTTTCTGGAGGAAGACAGGGCACCCCTGTGGGTAAAGGAGGCAACTAGGGTCTGTAGGGACCCTACCCTCCAGATGGGCCCCGTGCCAGCAACCGCTGACAGGCACATCTCCGGAAATGGCCTCTTTGGAGGCAAGGGCAGGCCCCCTGGTCTGCAGCATGTCCCTCAGAGGCTTCTGTGTTCCAGCACCTTCACCAACCTGCTCTGTATGGAAACACGCCAGCCAGGGCTCTGCGCACAGCACATGAGGGCTCCTGGGTGGGGAAGGGGGGAGGTGTGGGGTTGCCCGCAGGCCCAGAAGGCACTGCCCTTACCCTGAGCGAAGGAAGACTACAGTGGCGCCAGGAGGCCAGGAGCGGGCAGGTGGTAAAGTGCGTGTTGAGAGTGGCGCGGGAGGCTGAGAGGAGGCCATTCCTCTTAATCTTCGCGGCCAACCACGCCTGGAGCTACCCTGTTAGGTCAGGTACTAAAAATAGACTGGGTTCTTTACTGTTTTCACCATCCCAAACAGAGCGGCTGGGGAGCAGCAGAGGTACAGGTGGGCTCAGCTACAAGTCTCCCAGCCCCAGCGCTTCAAAAACAAAACAGAAACAAGCATTCTTTAATGCCACGTCTTTTGAGGATGACAGTAGCCTGGCTGAACTCTGCCACCCCAGCCCTGGTCAGCATTCACACGTGGCAGAGCGAGAGCCCCCAGCAGGAGCATCTGGGAGCACCGAGCCCACCCGCTCCGACTCCAGGACCCAGAGCCAGGCTGCTTCGCAATCATTCACCCGCTGCAGACCAGCAAGGGGGATGTACAGGAGTGTCGGCCCCTCTCCCAGGTGCCAGGGACTCGCTGGTGGGCTGGCGTGTGGAAGGGTGGCAGGGGGGCCAAGGGAGAGAGCAGGGACTCGCTGGTGGGCTGGCGTGTGGAAGGGTGGCAGGGGAAACACAAGCAGGGAAAGCAGCAGTGCAGCAAGCAGCAGCACGCTTCCTGGGCACAGTTACTAAGGCACGTGACTGTGGTGACGAGGACCCTCAGGACCGGGGCTGGAGCTGCCTGCAGCTGCCTGGGGACTCGGTCTGTGCCTCTCAGGCTCCCTTCCATCACCACGAACCCAGAACGGGGCAACGTGCCCCAAATGCCACTGGCCACACAGACCTTCCGTGGCACCTCAGCAACTCTCCCATCCCAGCGATGATTCACCTCGGGCCCCTGTGGGCAGCAAGGAAGCTGGGGCTGCCAAGGACCAAACCCAGGAGGCAGCAGGCCACTTCCCCTCACACTCCAGTGAAACAGAAAAGACCAAGGCCAGGAAGGCCGGTGCTAGAAGTAGGAAGTGAGAATTTGCATATTAGGAAGACAATCACCCATCAGCCACCTTCCTTCCCTCCCTCAGGATCTTCTCAACGCTTCTCAGAAACTCAACAGGGCCAGGGGCCAGAACCTCTGAGCTGGACACCTGGGTGCTGGGATAGCTTTGGCGTGATTTTCCACATCCTCCAACCTCAGCCAAAGAAATGTGCCACGGGTGTCAACCCAGGGCAGGCCCGGGCACCCACATCCTTGCCCTAATTAGAGCCACTTTTGGATCTGCTCCTGCTAAGGGCAGTGGTGCCAGCCCTCAAAGGTGACAGGCCAGACCCAGACCCAGGCCTGGCCCTCTGTGTGCCGGAGGGCAGCAGTGCAGCCACCAAGGCTTGTAGGACAGCAACAAGCCTGCATGACAGGGAAACCGAATGGGCTGGGTGGGGGAAGGCACGAGTAAACACAGCGGCTCTCAGGCCCACGCAGGCTGGTGGGGTCTGCCGCCAAAGAGCTGGCTGGAGGGGACCCGGAGGGCTCAGGGAAAGGAAGAGTTCAGTCCAGCACATTCAAATGTCTCCGACACAGATGGGAAGGCTGGAGTAGGCAAAATGCCAGCTCCTCCAGCTGTCCAGCGGGCAGATGGCGAGAATCATCTTGAGTTTCCAGCAAGGTGGGCCTGGAGGCCCTCAGAGATACAGAGATACACAGATACACAGGTGGCAGCTCAGGTATCCGGGTAGGGTGGCTGGAGTATGGCGTACTCAAACCCACAGGGAGAGGGAAGAGGGGCAGAGAGGACCGTCGCAGAGAGGAGAGGCCCGTGGCAGCACTCATGCTTCTTTCAACAGCGGGATATCTGCAGGAAGAGAAGGAAGGAAAGCACAGTGGTTACCCTGCTGGGTCTCTCTGCAGCACGTCTGATCCCACTGCATGCTTCCCATGCAGGCCCTGGTCTGAAGAAACAAAATGCTTCACTCATACCTTCTAGAGGAGTCTACACCCTTCGCCCCTTCTTTAGGCCTTCCTTGCTCATCTCTCCCCCTACCTGTGTGATAAACTCTGAATGTTTAGTACTCAAACCCCCTCTGGTCCCACCACCTTGAATCTCCTGTCTGCCTTGACTCTGCTGGTCTAGTTGCTTCTCTTTCTACCCTTAATCTCACCCTATGAGGCTGCTGAGCCCTGCTTAGGTCCTACCTCCTCCTTAGAGCCAATCACCAGCTGTGTGATACCGAATAACTCACTTCCTTCCCTGGGTCTCGGGTCTCCTTTTATGTCCATCGGGTTACATGGATGCCTCATGGTCCTGATTTCCTACGGTGCTGTCAGCCTCAGACAGCACAGGCAGTCTGCAATGACCGATGTATCTTGTTTTCTGTGCCCCTCACACTGACACAGACCCTACAACTCCTGGTTCCATATTTCTTGAATATAGGCCCGATCTTCCCAAGACAATCCATGCAGGCAGACAGCATGTTTCAAATTACTTTCTATCACCTCAGAAATCTAACTGGCACCAGACACAAGATAGGTTCTCAAAAATGTTTGTTCAATAAATGGAACAAAGCAAAGTACTGAGGAGAAGAAGGGAGAGGAGCAAGCACCATCAGGGCTCCTTAGCAAAGATAAGGGCTGAGAAGTACACTTGGGACCTGTGTCAATACATACAGACACACAGGGGCGCCTGGGTGGCTCAGTCGGTTAAGCGTCCGACTTCAGCTCAGGTCATGATCTTGTGGTTCATTGGTTCAAGTCCCAAGTCGGGCTCTGTTGACAGCTCAGAGCCTGGAGCCTGCTTCAGATTCTGTGTCTCCTCCTCTCTCTGCCCTTCCCTGCTCACGCTCTGTCTCTCACTATCTCAAAAATAAACATTAAAAAAAACTTTTTTAAAAATGTACAGACACATAACATGCATAGCTGGCTGTCCATTGGGTCACTGGCTTCCACCTTTAAATGCAGGTCAATTAGGTAATGGCCCCTTCCCAGCTCTATATCCCACCAAGAGGAAAGAAGGCATGCTGTTGATTCAGGAAACCCCTAAATATGATCTGCATTCAAGAATTTCCAACTTCTCTGCTTTCAGATACTCTCAAACTCAGACATTAATGGCACCCAGGACCTCCAGGGCACATACATCTTCCTCACTGGTTTTCAGAGGGGCTTGGTAAGTGCAGAAACCTACTGTCAAAAGGGAAACCTCTAGGTTTAGCCTGCATCCTGAAAAGCACTGGGGTTTCATATAAAGATATCTTTTAAAGTGACAGAGTCAATCCCGATAATTCAATTCTCCAGGCCCCAGAAGAGGCAGGTAGGTCAGGAGTTGGCAATTTCCTTCTATGGCTGGCTTGCCACCAAGAACCCAGAGTCACCTGAGAGGTAGCATGGCACTGTGGGGTTATAAACATGGGCTCTAATCCCAGCTCAGCTACTACCAATGGGCAAGTGACACCTTCTCTGGCCTTAGTATCCTGATCCGTAAAATAGGGATGGTAATAGTATCTACTTCTCAGGATCGCTGTGAGGTTTAACTGACATAGTGCAAGAAAACCAACTGGCACAGGACTTGCATAGTCCTGTTGAAAATGAAACTGCTGAATCCCGGGCAAGAAAGACTGGCTCCAGTTTTCTCTGTAACATGACCCCATACCTCTTTGTCACTCCTGTCCTTTCAGGAACATAAAAATTATCACAAGAGAACAGACCCTACTCCCGCCTCCAGGCAGCTGTCCTCTCTTTGATTTAGCACAGGCCTGTGACCACAAATAGTTTTGGAAACTCTAAACTACGAAGATTCACAGACAACAGTCAAAAGTCTCCTACACAGAGCCCAAAGCCCTGCCGGGAACTGAGGGTGAGGCCTTATTCTGCAGGCTAATCCCCCAGGTATTATCTTCCTTTGCCTCCAAATACCCAATTATGAGAGAGGCTCACAGTCCCTCCTCACTCCCAGCAAGGCCCCCGAGCAGCTCATAATTCACAATCAGTGCAGACCACCTACCATCTGTGTAGTCCTCCGATGTGAGGGATAAAAGGCTTTGTATGTCACTGTTCTCTGAATCTGGGGCTTCTTTGTATGCCACTCGGCTGTTCCCTGAGCCGGCCACCCAGGAAGAGGTGGTTGCCTGATGCACCATCACAGTCTCTGAGCCCTGAGAGCCCCAGGCTTCGCATAGTCCAGACTGGCCCGGGGCCTCCTCCTCTCCGCCTGCAGAGGAACAGGCCCCCTGGTCCTGCAACTGGTGCTCCCTTGGTCCGTTCCTCCCACCGGGCCCAGACCCTTCTGACAGCACGATCTGCACTCTGGGGTCAGCAGGAGGCACACAGTGACCGGAACTGCCGTATACAGCTTCCTCGTAGGACGGTAGCGCAACCTGGACTCCATCCACCATGATGGAAACCTGGTCGCCAGATACCCCCTGGTCGCGCCTGCATCCAGAAGAGAAAAAGACAAAGGAAGAATGAAAATACACAAAGAAATAGATACCAACAACGACACCAACAATGCCAACCAGTTTTGAGCACTTACAACGTGCCAGGCACAGCACTAAGCGCTTTATCCCACTGAACCCGCAGGTGAGCCCTTTCAGGTACAGATTCACCAAGAATGCAGATGAGGCTTAGACAAGTCAAGTACCCTGCCCAGTCACACAGCTGGTGCGGGAAGAAGCTGGGATGTGAATCCAGTTCCTGGGCTCTTACCCTCTGGGTACCCAGGCAGCCAGCCCTCTCATATGGTGTAAAAACTAGGAACCTAGAGACGTAGAAATAAAGCCAGTATGCAGCACAGGGAGGACAGGAAAGTAAGAAAGTAATGCTTGCACATATCTGTGAGTATAGTGTCTGAACGCTTTAAGTGGGCACACTGTGTGGTGTGTGAATTAAATTTCCATGCAGCAGTGGTTAAAAAAAGGAGAGGGAAAAGAAGCATTGTGGTCTTGGGACGCCGGAGTCAAAATGTGAAGAATTCTATTCCTGTGACTCAGCTACTGTACTTGCCCTTTATTTTATTCAATTTTTTTAAAGTGTATTTATTTTGAGAGAGACAGAGACAACATGGGGGGGGGAGGGGCAGAGAGAGGGAGAGAGAGAATCTCAAGCCGGCTCCACATCACCAGAGTGGAGCCCGATGTGGGGCTCGAACCCACGAACCGTGAGATTATGACCTGAGCTGAAACCAAGTGCTGGACGCTTAACGGACTGAGCCACCCAGGTGCCCCACTTGCCTTTTTACTTTTAACTTAAAAAAATTACATGTGAATTACAACATACACACACACACACACCAAACAGAAAAATATACAGCTGTTTTATCCCAAAGGTACTGCCCCTACCAAAGTCAAGAAAGAGCAAGCCGCCAGCACCCCACACACCCTTGCTTCCTGTCCCGATGACTCCCTACTTCCTCACACCGGAAGTAACCACTATCCTAACTTACATGACAATCAGGCTTTTGCTTTCTATTTCAACAGTTTTACTGCCTAAAATGAACCCCTCAACACCACAGTTGAGTTTTGCGTACTTTTGATCTTTATATAAATGGGATATACAATGAATGTGTGTGTACATATGTGTATGTGTATCTGGCTTCTTTTACTGAATTTTGTGTGAGATTTATTTATGCAAACACCTTTTTTTTTTTTTATCACTTTTTGATATAAACACACTTTTTTCCTGAACCATTCTGAAAGTAAGTTATTTATGGCTAAACAGAACATTATTCAGCAGCACACCCCTCCGAAGAACCTCTTCTGCATACCTGCAACATTATTACCTCCTTGAAATTTAACAATGGTATAATACTGTCATTCAAATTTTCCTAAATACCCCAAAATATATCTGTTTCAGCTGCAGTCTCGTTTGTTTTCGAGGACCCAATTAGGGCTCATGCATTGCGGTTAGTCCTATTCTATCTCCTTTCCTCTAGAACAGTCCACGATAGCTTCTCCTTCATGACAAGGATACCTTTTGTTAGAATCCAGGCCAGTTGTCTCCTACGATGTCCCAGAGTCCACAGTCCGGACTTAATTGTTTCCTTGGGATTAAGATTCCAGTCAATTTTTGCCTGGAACACTGTATCATTTGTGATGCTGTGTTCTCCTCAGGGTATTACACCAGAACACACAGAAGCTCCATGACTGGACCACATTACTATTGCTAGACTGTTATTAGCTCTTAATTTCCTCATCTGTACTTGCAGATAAAATCTATGCTACCAATTCAAATGGCATAGACACTGTGAGGATGACAGAAGTGGTACTCAGAAGTGCCTGGAGGTTTCTGGAAGGAAGGGAAACTGATGGCAAGTTGACACAGAAAGCACTGTGCATTCTGGTACGTGCTTAGCTTCTGTTATTCAAAATGCGTTTTGTTGTTGTTGTTTAAAAAGTAATATAATACATGGGGGCGCCTGGGTGGCTCAGTCAATTAAGTATCCGACTCTGGCTCAGGTCATGATCTCACAGTTTGTGAGCTCGAGCCCCATGTCGGGCTCTGTGCTGACAGCTCAAAGCCTGGAGCCTGCTTCAGATTCTGTGTCTCCCTCTCTCTCTACCCCTCCCTGCTCATGCTCTGTCTCTCTTTCTCTCAAAAATAAATAAACATTAAAAAAAAATTAAGGGGTGCCTTAATTTGGTGGCTCAGTGGGTAAGCATCTGACTTTGGCTCTGGTCATGATCTCATGGTTTGTGAGTTCCAACTAACAGCTTGGAGTCTGGAGCCTGCTTCAGATTCTGTCTCTCTCTCTCTCTCTCTGCCCCTCCCCTGCTCACTCTCTGTCTCTCTCTGTCTCTCTCTCTCTCTCTCTCAAGTAAATAAACATTAAAAAAAAAAACCTTTAATTAAAAAAAAGTAATATGTGTAACACAGTACAAAATTTGAACAGGGCCCATAAAAAAACAAACAAACAAACAAACAAACAAACAAACAAATAAATCTTTCTTCCACTCAAGTCAGGCAAAATCAGCCAATTACTTTTAACACACTTACCAGGTAACTACAAAGGGAAAATACTCCTAATTTGGATGAAGCAACAAACAGATCAGCTTGACTTTACATGGAAATAGCCAATTCTTTCAAGTAGTTCCTCTTCATTCTATGAACTGTGTAACAACCTTGAAAAAACAAATAGCTACTACCTGCCCCCCCCCACCCCGGCCCCTGAAAAAAACAAAATAGAAAGAAGAAAGAAAAATCACACAAGTACACAAAGATGAAACTTAGCCTGAGCCTGGTCTGTAAATTCCAGACCAGGAAGCGTTTGATTTAACACAACTTAGCTTGTTCCTCTATGCCTGTGGATGACGACAGTGACTGATAAAGGGCTGTGAGTGCACATCAACTATTCTCAGGGGAATGAGGAGCTGCCGGGGCAGCCCAAAAAACTGCAGGGGGCCGTGACAGCCCCGGGGCAGAGTTTCCCCTAAGGGATACCCTCAGGGCCAGTCCCCCACCACTGCCACCCCCTCCCCCATCTACCCAGTCTGGGATGACTTGTGGGCAGCGCACTCAACTGGAAAAAGGAAAGTGACAAAGGTGGGCAAAACCCCCCACTTCCTCTGTTTCTAGCACAGTATGGCACAGTGGTTGCCATCCTGGCCGCGCATTAAAACCACTGGGAGCTTTTTAAAAAACACTAATGCCACAGGGTGCCTGGATGGTTCAGTGGGTTAAACGTCCAACTTTGGCTCAGGTCGTGATCTCACGTTTCATGGGTTCAAGCCCCATATCTATGCTGACAGCAGAGAGCCCACTTTGGAGCCTCTGTCTCCCCCTCTCTCTGCCCCTCCCCCACTCGTTCTCTCCCTCTCTCTCTCTCTCTCAAAAATAAACAAAAACAAAACAGGGGTGCCTGGGTGGGCGTCTGACTTCGACTCGGGTCATGATCTCATGGTCTGAAAGTCTGAGCCCCACGTCAGGCTCTGTGCTGACAGCTCGGAGCCTGGAGCCTGCTTCGGATTCTGTGTCTCCCTCTCTCTCTGCCCCTCCCCTGCTCACGCTCTGTCTCCCTCAAAAATAAATGAACATTAAAAAAAAAAAAAATTAAAAAAAAATAAAAAACAAAACAAAAAACACTAATGCTAGGCTCCCACTCCAAACCAAATTAATCAGAATGTCTGGGGATAGAGGCTTAGGTGTTGGTATTTGTGTTTAATTCCCTACAGATGCCTATATGTGCAGTCAGGATTGGGAACTAGGGGGCCAGGGCAGTGGCTCACAAACAGAGCCTGCCTCAGAATCACCTGGAGGGTTTATGAAACTACGTGGATGGGTCTCGGCCCTAGAGTTTCTCATTCAGTTGGTCTGGGGTGGGGCCTGAAAATTCTCATTCCTAACAAGTCCCCAGGTGATGCTGATGCTGCTGGAACCACACTTTGAGAGCCACTGGTATAGGGCAAATGACAAGGCTTGGGGGTTGGACAAGTCTGGGTCCAAATCTCCAGGTGGTCATCATCTAGAGGAGTCACGACCTTGACTTAATCTCTCTGAGCCTCAGCTTCCTTATCTGCAGTGATCCAATGAGGATTAAGCTAATGATAAGCAAAATGATAAGCACAGTGCCAGGCATATCCAGGAGTTGAACACATGGCAGGGCCCTCCCCTTCCCCTGGGCACACACATCAGAAGAGGCTGCCAGGCCCACAAGCACCCCTCTGCAGTCAAAGGCCAGGCCTCATGGCGATGCCCGCTGCCCCCGACCACGGGCCTCACCTGCTGTGATGGAACGACTTCAGCTTCGGCTGCAGCAGCACAAACAGCACCACGAGGAGGAGAATGAGTGCCACGGAGCTGGCAGTGGAAGCAACTATGGACAGCGTGGGGACCCCAAGTGATGTGTGGGCATCTTTGTCTACAGAAATAAAATCATCATCAGAAGGGTGCTGTGCCCAGACCCATAACATGTGAGCCCCACAGCTGATCTCGTCAAAGGTCCCTTGCACGGTGCCATGGCCATGGCCATTTTGGAAGTCTAAGTGTGGAGCAGCTTTTACACATAAGGTAAGGGGTCATTTCCCCATCCTGTTCTCGAATCTAAAATTCTCTTCACTTCAGACCTTTGAGGACCATCTCACACCTAACCTCACATGCCCCTAGAGATCTGGCTTTTACTAACCACTTCTGATCCTGTCCTCAGTAGCAGGTTGGTAGGCATCAACCATGTGCATGGACACAGTCTTCCACCATCCTAGGTCCCACCCATGTTTCCCCACATGTGGCAGGAAAACTGGTAAGAACTGGGCTGTGATCCCCTGTTCTAAGACCCTGTAACTTCAGTTGCAAATCTCAGGCTGGTCCCCATCCATCTCTAGGGTGTCATGGTCTAGGAGCCCGAGTGTGAGGCACGAAGACAGCTGTAGGACACATACTTTCCTGCAGACAGTTGGATTTTCCTGTCATGGATGACAGGAGGAGGCAGGAGGGGTCTTCTGTCCAGCTGGACTGTAGCTCTATAACAAACAGTCCATTTCCATTCAAAGAAAAATAATATAAAAGAGACACTCCAGAAGGTGTTAGCAGAACATGGCCAAAGGTCACCAGCACTTGGCTGGGCAAACGAGAGATCCTAAGCATCAAAGAGACTTTACAAAGCAGAACAGATGCCTCGATAAAGCTACCAAGCCCCTCGGTGGCTCAGCTGAAATGCAGTGGGACACGCACCAGCAACCCCAAACGTCTTTTACAAAGACATGAAATCCCAAAGGAAGGGAGGCTGAGGGGCATCAAAGGAGCTACACCGCCCACAGCACAGGTGCTCTGGAGGAAGTGGGCGCCACTTCCCATCAGCTTAAAGGAAGCAGAACCCCAGCAGCCCCCCTTTCTCATCTGCCAGACTGACCCTCATTGAGACGGCAGCTAATCTCCATGGCTGGTTTCCATTCTCCATTCTTACACGTCAGGTACTTGTAATCACCCTTCAACATGTAGCCTTCAGCACACAGGTACTCAATGACGCTGCCCGCGTTCAGGGGGTCTCTGCAGGGCCGGGGGTGGCAGATATAGCCACCATTCTCTGGCTCCGGGGGTAGGGAACACACTGCAAAGACAGAGAGAGAGTGCGTGGGGATACAGCAGTGAGGTTTCCCAGTGGGATCCTGTCCGTGCTGTCGAGGAGGACAGGAAATGCAGGAGGATCTGAGAGCCATTCTCTTAGAAAGGCTGTTGGCCAAACTCTGGAAATTCAGGTTGCCAGTGACAAAAGGAAGCACACTGGCTGCAGGGAAAGTCTGGCTGCTTGCAACATTTCCCCTCTTGCTCTGTGTGTGCCTTGGGAGAACCACACCCATGAGGGAGTGACAGACTCTGACAGTCGTGAACTCAGAGACCTAGCACATCATATGGTTTTGATAAAACCTACTGAAACACACAATGAATCAGAGTGAAAGGTGGTAAAACACTGTCAACCTGTGCAAGGGAAACGTTAGCCCTGTTTCTGATAACAATACCAGAAAAGACGCCATGGTGTGATAAAAATGTGCCTTCGTGGCCTGAGAGGGGATTTCTGATGGATTTCCTGGCCCTCCCAAGCCCCCATGTACTGCCCTCCTCCTGAATGGAGAAGCCCCCGCCAGCACTGGTCTCCATCCCACAGTAAAGCCCACAGCTTTTGCTCAGGCGAGACTATTTAGCTTTAAAAGCATCTTCACCTTCTATCCCTTTATTCTGACAGCTCCAAGACCTAGTTATCATTACTCCCCTTTGTCGATGAGGACACTGACCCACAGAAGTTAAATGACTTTAGCCAAGCGTAAGGCACTGTAAAGGGCAGACCTGAGAGCAGGGTCAAGTCTTCTGACTCTAAAACCTGTGCTCTTTCCACCAGCAGACACCGCTTCTACCCCAGGAGTTGAGTGGGCCTTTAAGAAGTATGCATGTCCTGGTCACCTCCTTTCAAACAGGTCAGTTAGGCAAATGGAGTCCAAGTGTGGTGAGAACCCTGGTGTAGATGAGTTGTAGCAGTAAGTCAGAGGAACAGGAAGGTCTAAGCGGCCTGATGAGAAGGGTGACCTCTGATTCCATGGCCTGCACCTCCAATCCTAGACTGACGCTGCAGAGTTAAAAGTCAGGCAATGGACTGTGGGTTGTGCTTAGCCCTAACAGGAGATACACAACAGGGGCACTAAAGGAAATTCTGTTTGGAAGGCTAGGCTGGGGGAGAAGACATGCTGGCAGGATGGCCAGGTACCATGAACTTCAACTTTCCAAAAGCCTTACTAATATAAAAGATAGAAAATTCCAACAGACATTTGATTCTGCTGACAAATATCCTGCCCCCATCCTGATTATCACAAGAACATCGGTATGAAAATAAGAACTGTTGTTTTTTTTTTCCACTTCCTCTAACGGACCTGGAGCGTGACTGAACCCTCTCCCACTCACAAGACTGCCCACCGCTCCCTTGCACAGATATGCCCTTACAGCCTCTTATCAAATACCACTTCCCTTCAACCTAAAGACTGCCAGTAAGCAGGCAGACTGCCAGCCAGGCTGGGGGGTAGGTCATGTCGAAAAAGAGATGATGGCTCCCTGCCTTCAAGGTGTGTATTGCTGAGATGAGGAGAAAAGACTCATCTATAAAGATTTATCAGACAATAACGCCAGGATGGGTGCCACAGGGATGCACAAGAAGAGGTCTGGGCAGCTTCTCTGAAACTAGCAGATGAGCCCAAGTAAGTGCCCCAGTGCCCTCTAGAGACATGCCTTCTCCAGATTCTTCCCACGCCACCCACCTCACCCAAAGTCTTAAACAGGAGGAAGACAGACCCACCAGACTCCTGGTGCCTCTTGCAACTTTGGCCAACTAGTTCAAAAAGCTGTCCAGCTGGATTTCCAAAGGAACCTCTGTAAACTGCTTTACTCTTTACATTTTCCCTCTTTTGTTCAGGGCAACAAGGCTGCCACAGATCCCTTGGCTCTCCTAGCACTGTGTCTAATTGGGTCATTTCCTCAGCATAATTAATGCTGAGCACCCCAGGGCAGCTTCCGAAAGCAGGCAGGACCCACTCACAGGTCCAATGTGCTGGGAAAGATGGTCTCAGAGGAAAAGCTGCAGATTCTAAAGCCACTCCTGCTGCTGGTATTCCTGCCGGTAAAGCCCAAATCTAGAGAACCTTTGAGATCACCTAGCATAAGGAAAGTTTAGTGCAAAAAAAAAAGTGGCAAGCAATGAGACCATCTTGCAGACGGTCTTGACTGCAACAGGAGGTGTTTGTAACATGTTCAAAGGACAAGGGAAGCTTCTGAGGGGTCTTGAGAAGGGCAGAATTACAAGAAGAACTGAATCTGATCAAAGATGGACAAAGCTGGAGGGAGCCTTAAAGTTTGTCAACAGTACAGCAACCCTAGTACGGTCAAATACATGCACATAGGTTCTTTTACATTATCTGTGAAGGCTAAAGGAAACCAGTCAAATGCATAGGGCTCAGCATTGCAAAGAGGCTGCCCCCGGTCCAGGGAAGTAAGGAGGCTATGGAGGTTAAAAAAAAAAAGGGGGAGGGGGCAAGGTCATGTTAAGACACCAAGAACACAAGAAAAAAATATGGCCTTCTTGCCCAGGCAAACAGCAGAGTGGGAGAGTTGTGGCAAAGAGCAGGTTTTCGGGGCGCCAGGGTGGCTCAGTTGGTTAAGCGTCCGACTTCAGTTTGGGTCGTGATCTCGTGGTTTGTGGGTTCGAGCCCCACATCAGGCTCTGTGCTGACAGCTCAGAACATGGAGCCTGCTTCGGATTCTGTGTCTCCCTCTCTCTCTGCCCCTCCCCTGCTCGTGCTGTCTCTCTCAAAAATAAATAAACATAAAAAAAATTTTTTTAAAATTCTTATAAAAGAGGTGTTCAAAAGGACCCTCTCAGTGATGCCTGGGTTAACAAGAAATGGAAGAACATCAGGAAGAGCAAACAATCATCCAGAGGCTTCTGGAAGCCACCATCCTGGGCAAGAGGCTACCTTAATCTTAATCTCAGCCTCTCTCTCTGACAACCCAAGGTTCTCAGAGGGAGTTTTAAGCTCGGTTCTAAACTGCAAGAAGACAATGAACTCATCTGATTTGGTCAAGCCGCGTAATTGTAAAAAGGGAGAAAGCCAGAAGATAGAAATTTTACAGGAAAAAAATCAATTAGTTCTCCTTAGCTTCCTTCTCTGCTTTCCATTATCTCCTACAACCATTTAGGCCTCCAGTAAGCACAGGAAGCAGCAAAGTAGTTCTTCAGGGGCCTCAGAGAAAGACGATTCAGCCAGCTGGGGAGGATGCAGACGGAGAAGATGCAAAATAAGCTGGCTGATCCTTCCACCTCCAAGTCACTGCAGCCTACAACCCTCAGTAGAAAACAAGAACCCTTGATTAGCCCTTCTAAATGGGCTTTGCTTTTGTGTCCTGAGGACCAGCCTTTTAGAAGGAGGAGGCAAAAAACAAAACCAACTTTGTAAGATTCCATAACAAGCAAATCAAAATGAGCTCCAGGAGAGGGCCCCGGATCAAACTGTTCAGTGTAACATACTTGAACAAGCACTTGAGTCCCTTCAAAATGAGGTATGAGGAGTAGGGAGTGTGAAGGTCAGTGTGAGGAAGGCAAATAGACATTTAAATACCTGGTGCATTTAAAAAAAGACTCAACAAAAGAGATTTCTGGCTGACGTCAGTTATCAAGAAAACACCATACTCTAAAACACTGACTGAGGGCTTAAGAAACTGGTCAGTGTTCATGCACAAGTTTGAAATAATGTAGTTTTAGACTAAAATCAGAGCAGTAGCATTTAGAACATAACATTAAGCACAGAGAAGTAGGTGCTTAATCAAAGCATCCAAAGAAAGGATGGCTGGAGAAAAGCTTTCCTGGGAATTAAGGGGAGAAGAAAAAGGCTTCCCCAAACCCAGCACACCCACACAGCAGTCTTAATAATCAGGGACACCACGGAGGCAGAATTGTAATGTCTCTGGTTGTAACTCAGAGCCCCCATCTCTCCACAGTCTGCTCTAGGAGGCCATAAATGTAAATGTGACAAGACTGTGCCCTCAGAAAGCTTAGAGAGGACAGACTCACACACGGCCAACTCTAATGCAAAGCAAAGAAGGAAGTGTTAAAAGGTGAACTCTTCTATTAGCCTGGGCCGTCCTTGTCAGAGACCATCTAATTCAGGTAAGGAGCACTGCTGGCAACCAGAGGAAGGTAAGAACCAGTGGCAAAGAAGAGAAATAGGATCAGAAAAAATAAGGATGGGAGGAAGGAATGGATGGATATCACACATCCAGTGCAGCACTGTCCAACAGAAATATAATGCAGCCACATAGGTAATTTTATATATTTTTTTAATGTTTGTTTTTGAGAGAGACAGAGTGTGAGCAGGGGAGGGTCAGAGTTTGAGAGAGAGTGTGAGCGGGGGAGGGGCAGAGAGAGTGGGAGACACAGAATCTGAAGCAGGTTCCAGGCTCTGAGCTGTCAGCACAGAGCCTGATGCGGGGCTCGAATCCACGAACCGCGAGATCGTGACCTAAGCTGAAGTCAGATACTTAACCGAGCCACCCAGGCACCCCA